TATATATATATATATATATATATATATATATATATATATATATACATATATATATATATATATATATTATATATTGTTGTATATTATTATCATATGTTTATGCATATATATTTGTATATTGTAGTATACAAATATAATTTACTGTAATATTATATATTGTTGTGTATTATATATATTTTTGCGTATTACGCAACATAATATACAGCAATATATAAGAGAATTTATAATATTACATAAAGAAATAGAAAATATATTTAAATTTATAATATAATATACAACAATTTATATTAATTTATAATACAATACAGACAAAATCATAATATACAACAACATACATAATATAAAACAATTCGAATATAATAAAAGATATAATATACGCTAAACTATAACAAACACGAATTTATAAAACAAAAAATTTAAATAAAAAAATAATAAACACGAATTTATTAAATAAAAACTTAATATATAAAAATAAAAAAAAAAAAAATAAAAAAAGAAAAAAGAAAGGTCCTACTGGGATTTGAACCCAGGTCGGCGGATTCAGAGTCCGCAGTGCTAACCACTACACCATAGAACCGATACTTGTTGTTTTTTTTTCTTTTTATTGAAATTCATTTTCTTTTTAAATTATAAAATAAACAAAAAAAAAACAATAAATAATATTCTTTTTATTTTATTTTGTTTAAACTAAAAATAGATATCAATATTGTTTTTTTTATACACACACAGACTGCGGTAAGAGGAGATAAACTAAAAAATTATATACTGAATTTATTTTTCTTGACTTCAATCGAATCTTTATTATTTTTTTTGAAAAAGCAAATGAATAAAAATAAATTGAAAAAGTTAAATAATTAAAAACCATACATAACACGAAAAGTTTAAGCTTTAGCTGTTCACTGCGCTTTCTTTTTCTCTGTAATCAAGTCTTTATTATTATTCCCTTTATTTTACAAAAACAAAGAAGTAAAGTATTGAAATATATTCAATATATTCAGTATAAATAAATTTATTTATAAAAAATATAAAATAAAATTTTAAAAGAATTTCACGGCGGTGAGCTGTATCGACGGTTCTATGGTGTAGTGGTTAGCACTGCGGACTCTGAATCCGCCGACCTGGGTTCAAATCCCAGTAGGACCTTTCTTATATTATTTATTTTATTAAAAAAATCATAAAATAATTTATTTTTATGTTTTAAATTTATAATAACTTTTTATTTTGATATATTTTTATGCGAGAGGGATTGAGTATACTGCTCTTTATTCAGAATTCATGTTTCCTGCACCACCGGACAGTCAACGGCGGTCTATATATATATATATATATATATATATATAATATATATATATATAATATATATATACAGTGTAATTAAAACCAAGCCTGTCG